TAAGATCTCTTGGAATGCCATAAAATCAACATGACTTCGGATAAACTTTAGCAACTTACGTATTTTTATGAGACCCATGAATAGAAGATATAATAATAGGACACATGGGGAATCAAGAACATAGGCACCCCTAGTATTTCTATGAAGAGAGTTATTTATGAAAGTTGTACATTTGCTCCTTTCGTTTGTATCATATGGATCATGCCAAAAAGAAAGAATAGATAGCCTTAACATACTTCAAGTCGTCAATGCAACTCAACAACAAGCTTACGACAACTAGCACGCCAACCCTATAATAAAGAAATACGTGTACAACTTAGATGGCGGTGGTATATCATGTATCTCAAATGATAACTCGATTCTAAAATAAAGCGGGCAGCATTTCCCCTGATTTCATTTCTCCCTCAATCCTACTATAGGAGAGATACAAACACAATACAATCAAAATCTAAAAAACAACCCAACTACAATTCGGGACTTTCAATACAACAAAACCCCCAAATATACCATAACATACCCAATCAATAAGTTATCAATTAACCTGAAATTGCAACAACGAGCGACCAACCTACTACCCTACCACATGTGGCATTTCTCCACGCCCTTCATCCTTCCAAACTCCATAAATAAGCATCACAATAAGCCAACATGAGTGGACTACAAAACAGTCCACTAAAAGTGAAATAAATCGAACTCACGACTTCCGATCACCGTCCTGTGAGTTATAAATATTAGGAAAAGAATTTATCTACCATCCTTGATATTTAAACACCTAAATACAGAAATTAAGCATTTTATTAACTATTAAATACATTCCAGAACTCAAACTACAAAGAAAAAAAGAGGCGATATAACGATACTTACGTCGTAGGGATCATTCTGATGTTATCGCTTCTTGATTTCGTACCTGGGATGTTAGTATTCTTTGAAACACTATTAGAGAGATCAAGGACAGTTTCTATGGTGTTATATGGTTGGGTACTATGAGAAAGTGAAGAGACAGACGAGTTAAGACATATATATCGACTTTTGAAAAGTCAAAGAGGTGCTAGCTTGGCACCCTCTAATTCGCCCTTCGTTCGACGCTTCTATCTTTTTATACGGATGTCGTATGAATAAAAGGTTAATAGAGTTGAAAACTACATTCCAATACCTTCAATTTGGTATATAATTTGTCCAAAAAAGACCTCATATAGAATACAAAATTTATTTCTCAAAAACCTCTGTTACAAGGCAAATCTTTAGTCGGTTTTTCCGCAACTTAAATTCGATTTTTCCCAAACTTTATATTTTCTATACAAATGTCATATATAATCATATTATGACTTTAAAATCATTTAAATCATAATTAACAAGTCTCATATTCATTATACGTCATCTTGGGACGCACATGGTGTAACATTTTATATTGCTACAAATGAATTTTCTGGGCAATATTATCCTACTATTTCTAACTGTTTAGTTTATATTGTAAAACTTGTAAATTTGTTTGCTCATTTTTCAGAGGGTAGAGAAATTTATAAACTTGCTATTGATTCTACGAGAAAAAAATTTAAATTTGTTTTTCTCTATTCTCCCTATTTATGGTGTTGCTGCTTTGTTAAATCCTTGTATGAAATTAGGAGGTCCTCAATTTTAGTTTTAAATTATTTATAATGGTTTAGCACTTGAAGATGAGGATTTGTCTCAACTTCTATAAGCAATAGCCTCAATTATAATAAATGCTCAAACTATTTTTAATGCTTATCAAGTTGGATCAAATCATGCTAGACCGAATGTTCCAACTCCTTCTTCTTCTGATTCTCAATCATCTAATAGAACTTTAGGAGTAAGAGAACTTAGTACTTGGATGAGGTTTAGGGATTCTCAAGTTTCTAGTACTAGTGATTTTTCACAACTAAATGAGCTTGAAGTTTATTTGTCGCAGGGAATTGAGGAAGTGAATCCCGACGGCTCCTTTAATATTTTGGAATGGTGGAAGGACAAAGAAAAATACTTTCCGATTCTTTCAAGGATGACCCGAGATATTTTAACTATTCAAGCTTCAACAATGGCATCAGAGAGCACTTTCAGTCAAGCAAGACTTCAACTCGGTGATTATAGAGCGTTTATGAGGGAGAGCTTGGAAAAATCAGTATTTTTCAGAGATTGGATCCGTTCAGAAAGAAGAAAGTTTGGACTTGCTTAATCACAACCAGAGGTAGACGAAACTTACGAAGAAATGCTAGCTGAACTTGCGGAGGATTCTGCTTTGCCCAGAAGCGGTAATGACCAAGATTCTTTTCCGCCACCACCAACGGAAATACCTCCGGATCTTGAAGGATTTATGAAATTTGTAAGAGATACCATGTAACTTATATGAACAAAAAATTAATATGTAACTTGTATTTTGGCACATCTTGATTAGTTTTTTTTTCTTCTCAATGGTGGTATTAGCACCTTATTGTGCTCATTCAATAGGGGGAGGAAGACTAAGAAAGATATTGCCATATTTTTTTAATGCTATAATAAAATTACAAGGCATTGCTTTGAATATCTCTTTACAATATTTTTATCTTTAGACTATAAATTTGAATTAAAAAATTTAGGTCACAATTCTATAATAAAATTTACAAGGCATTGCCTTAGATATTTTTTTAAATATCTTTTTGTCTCTAATTTCTATTTAATTTAAAAAAATATATACGTTGGGCCTACTTAGCCCGCGGGCCGGGACCGTTTAGTTCGGGATCATGAGTTCGTGGGCTCGGTCCCGTGCCGGTTCCTACAAAAAGACTATTTGGCCTAGGACCGTTTTGCCCGTTTAATTTAGGACAGGCGCGGGACCGGGATCGGGACCGAGCCCGTTTGGACTGGCACACTTGGCCCGTTTAGGGTTCGGACCAGCCTACATGCCACCCTTAGTGTTGATGGTACATTTTTGAAGGGGAAGGCCAAGGGAATATTGCTAGTTGTTATTGGTCAGGATAATAACAATCACTTCTACTTTTGGCATGGGCAGTTGTTGACAAGGAAACAAAGGCAACCTGGATTTGGTTTATGGAATTTGCTGAATAATTCTTTGAACCTCAAAGATGGTGAAAGGATCACTTTCATGTCAGGCATGCAAATGGGTAACTTTCCTATTTTATTGTATTTCTTCTTTCATTTACTTTGTTGTTTATGCACACTAGCTGATACAAGTTTATTTTGGTTGATTTGAAAATATGTAGGGATTAACTGAAGCAGTCAGAATTGCCCTTCCAGAAGCACACCACAGATTATGTGTTAGGCATATTGAGGCCAATTAGTGCAAATCATTTAACATTGGAGAAAACAAGAAGCTGCTTTGGTGGTGTGTATGGGCCACATATGAAGATGAATTCAAAGATCAACTTAAGAAATTAGGAGAATTATAGAAGGAAGCCATTGAGGGTCTGTTGAAATATCCACCACAAGCTTGGTGTAGAGCTTACTTGGATATTGTATGCAAGAATCAATCAGTTGATAATAACCTGACTGAATCCTTTAACAATTAGATTATGGATGCTAGATTCAAGCGAATAATTAAGATGTTGGAGGATATAAGACTCAAGGTTATGAACATGATAAAGATACATGAAGATGAAGTGAAGACATGGGCTACTGAATTCAGTCCAAAAGGCATGAATTTGTACAATGAGTATGTACAGATTGCTTAATGTTGTAAAGTCAATGCCAATGATGATTGTGGGTATGAAGTGTTTGAGGGAAGTGATAAATATTGTGTTAGGTTGGATTTGGGGAGGTGTACTTGTAGGGCATGAAACCTTAGTGGAATCCCATATCCTCATACTATTGCAGCCTATTGCAGCTATGCTCTATAAGAATATATACCCACTAAAAGGAATGCATTGGTGGTTTAGCAAGGAGGCATACTTATTGACTTATAAACACAAGTTAGAGCCTATTCCAGGTGAAATATTTTGGAAAATTGAACCTTCCCAAGCAATGGAACCACTAGATTTTGTAAAGATGGCTGGCAGGCCAAAGGTTAAGATGGACAAGGAAAAGAATGAAGCAATTAAAATGCAAGGAGGGTAGTCTTTGTCCAGAAAGGGTAGGGTCATGACTTGTGGTAAATGTGGACAATCAGACCATAATGCAATGACCTGTGGTATGGTAAATCTATGTTATTCATGTTTATTTAGTTGTATTTGTCTATATTACCTCATTTAACTTCTTTGTTTAACATCCATCAAAGGGGAAAGGTAAGGCAAAACAGCCTCAAAAGAGGCAAAGATCTTTAATAGAGGAGGAAACAAAAGAAGATATAAGCTTATCAACACCTCCAGTATCTCAACCCAGTCAAGGCAAAGAATTTACATTCATTCCAACACCTACAATTAGGAGAGTTCGGCAGTCAAGCAAGAATGTAGATGCTAACATCCCATAATTTGGCAATGATGAAGATGATGCTGTTAGGCCGATGACTATATCAGAAATTATGACAAGACTTCAAATGAGGCAAAACATAACTATATAAACTGGGACAAGGTCAATTTACTTCACAGGTGACACCAATGATGTTAGTGAGCCCACATATATTCCATATACACCACCATCACTTACCTGGAAGGTACAATCTGCTACAATTGGGAATCAGCTAGAGAAGCAAAGGCAGCAGAGGAATGGGAAGCTGCATGCAAGGAAAGGAAAATGAACCTCAAGTTGGGACTGTTTTGTTTTGTTTTTCGGGATGTAATTAGTGCAATCCGACAATACTTTTGTAGTATTTAATGGTCTTTGATGTTGTTGGTACTGAAACTTGAAATGGATGTCATATTATAATTTAATAGTGTAAGTTTTTGGGGTTATAGAATGACATCCAATTATTAGGACATGTAGTTACTGCTATGACAGTACATTTTAGATGGTTAATGTCAAGATACCAGATGGTCTTTTACGTTTAGAGCCTCATTTTCCTCCTCCAAAATCACATCCACATCTTCTATCAGAGAGCAGTTAGCAAATTCAATGGTTCACTGCATAAACTTCTGCACATTGAACGTTATCTCTTCATTGTTCAGTCTCATCTTTAGATCACTAGTTTCACAATCAATTAGAGCTCTCCTAGTGACCAAGAATGGCTTTCCCAAAATTATGGGAATCTCCTCGTTAACCCGGCAGTCCAGAATGACAAAATCTGCCGGAAACATAAAATTTCCAACATGCACCAGTACATCATCAAGTATACCTAATGGCCTCTTTACCGTTCGGTCGGCTAACTGTAGTAACATGGATATGGGTCTTGCTCTTCCAATGCCTAACCTTTTATAGATAGCCAAGGGCATCAAGTTTATGCTCGCCCCCAAATCACACAATACTTTAGCAAAAGCATATCTACCTATTGCACATGGGATTGTAAAACTCCATGGGTCGGACAACTTCTCAGCTATGGGTCTCGTCACGACAACACTAGATGTCTAAGTTAGTGTAACAATGGCCAAGTCTTGAAAGTCGAACTTGCGAGACATCAAGTCCTTCATCATTTTTGCATACCCAGGCATCTCCCTCAAGGTGTCAATCAATGGAATGTTCACCTGGATTTGCTTCAACATCTCCATGAATTTATTATACTGCTCATCCTTCTGATATTTGGCCAATCTCTGTGGGAAGGGTGCTGGAGGTCGCTTCTTTCCTGTGACTTGAGTTTGATCCTGCTCGGGCACTTTTTCTAATGCCTTCTCTTGTACTTCCTCAGCCTGCTTTCAAACTCTTTTTCCTTCTTTATTTCCTCCTGGGCTGGTTGGATTCTTTCTTCTGTCAGCTCTGTTGACTCATCTACCTCAATTGGTACTGGCACGAGTCTCTCGGTTGGTCGGCTTTCGCGAGAAATTTGTTGCTCTATATCAAGGTCTCTACCATTTCTCAGACTAACAACTATCAACTTCTCCGGGACCTGCTCTATCGGGTTAACATGTGTATCCGCAGGTAATGTCCCTTGAGGCAGATTGTTAAGGGCCATGGATATTTTTCCTAGTTGAATCTCAATGCTCTTGATAGCTGAGTCGTGTGATACTACATTTCCTTGCTTCTGGTGGACATTTTCTTCCATTTTCCTGTTGGATCTAATGAGTTGTTGTAACATTCCTTTAATTTCAAATAACCCATCCTCTTGTCGCACTATCTGTTGTTGTTGAGGTTGTTGATAAGCTAGTTACTGATTTTGTTGATTGTAACTTTGTTGCCTTTGATATGGCACAACCTGACCCTGTGGTCATGCAGTTGCAGGATTATTATTATTGTTGTACTGCTGCTGTGGTGGCCTATATTATTGATTCTGCTGTCCCCAAGTCTGACCACCTTGTCTCTAGCCTCCATAGTTGCCTACATAGTTCATATTCTCTTGATAGTTCTGATTGTCACTTTTACCACTCCACGAGCACACATATGGCTGATTAATGCATGGTGTGCATAATCCTCCATTTGTCGTGTCAACTATGTGCACATGCTTCTAGCCTGACTCATCAATCTTTTTGGTTAGGATACTCAATTGCGTCATCATCGTAGCCATATCCTTAGCCATGGAGTTGTTTGGATCTAAAGCTACTGAGTGAACTACAGGAGTGGTTGTAGAGTCTCTTATCATTCATCGTGAGTTTTGAGCCATTTTATCAAGTAAGACCTTGCATTCCCTCAACGAATTGCTAAAAAATGCTCCACCTGCTGAAGCATCAACATTGGCGTTCAAGCTGTCTGCCAATCCCATGTAGAACCTTTGCCCCAACATCTGATCTGGAATGCCATGATGTGGACACTTAACCAACATACCTTTGAACCTCCCCACATTTCTTGCAATATTTCAGTTGGTTTTTGCCTGAAGCTCAATATCTCATCAACTTGCTTGGCAGTCTTATTGGGTGGGTAGAACTTGTTCAAAAAGTGCTTGACTAATTCCTCCCAAGTGGTAATGGAGTTTATAGGGAGCGAATTGAGCCAAGTCTGAGCCTCTCCCGTCACCGAGAATGGAAACAATAACATCCTTATTGATTCTGTGTCACATTTGGTTGCCTTTGCGTGACACATATCGATAGGAAATTTTTCAGATGCTGCTGAGGATCTTCAATGTTAGACCCTGAGAACAGTCCCTTATTCTGCAACAAATGTAATATGTTGTTTGTGATTTTAAATGATTCCGCTTGTATCTAAGGGACTGCAATTGCGGTTGCCAGATTTTTAGCGGTAAGTTGTGCCCAATCAAACAAGACTGCTTCTAGCACAAGAGGTGCCACACCTTGGTTGTTCAGGTCATTCCCATTGTTTTTGTTGTTTGAGTTGTCTATTACGTCACCCATGTCTAGTTCGATTCATTGTGTTGAGTTCCGTTGTTGTTTGTCTTTCTTGTTTGCTCAATTTAGTGCCTTGAAAGCTTTCTCACGGTCCGATAATGCTTCGTACAATTCACCAGTTCTTGAGAAGTTTCTAGGAATTCACTAGTTAAGTCGAGAAAGCTGAATAAACTACAAATTCTAACAATTGTTTTAGCCGTAATTAATAACACCATTAATTCTCTGGCAACGGCGCCAAAATTTGATCACGCCCAACTATGCCTCCTAAGAGGTCTAGCGATCGTTGCTAATATAATCTAGTTTACAAGTCCGGAATCGAATCCACAAGGAATTAACCTATTAATCATAACCACTAGTTTCGTAACAAGCCAAATAATCAACCTTCAGAAATCTTGAATAATGAGTTGATTGTTTACTAACTAAAAGCAAGGTAATTAAAAAGTTTTAATTTTACTACTAACAAAGCAAAGGTTGTAGACAAGATTGAAAAGGTCTAGGGTTTTGATTTCCCCTATTGTTGGAATCTCCCCCACTACGATTCCTATAAATTCACCCAAGTATTCTCTACCGACTGTGAGTACTTTGAATGTGTAGCTCTCTCTCGAGCAACTACCATAATTTACTAGACGTATTCTCTCGAACTACGCTAGATGGCACTAATTTACCGCTCAGTATGATCGCACCAAGGTTTCGTTATCTCTAATACGGCCTTTAAACCCCATGTATTGATCTTTCAAATACGTTAGGAGTGACGTTGTTCAAAAATCACCCTTCAATAGGTTCCATCAAACCCTAGATTAGACGTTTAGCTACTCATATTCATAGTAATAATTTCCCAAGTATTTTGCATAAATAAATTACAAAGAAAAGATGAAGGAATATAGAACTCGATGATTCTTTCCCCCAAAAGTTGTTCCACGTGCTATTCTTGCCTCTAGTCGTCGAACCCCTTTCAAAATGGTGTTTAATGACTATTTATATGTGTAGGGAAAAGACCTAAACGAAATAGCTCAATTCCAAACCCAATAAGGAAACGAAATAGGCTTTTAAAATACGGAACACCCTCGCTATAAACCGTGCGGCTCAAACGCGCACTCCAGCTCGCCTCAGGCCTCGCGGTGCCCCGCTCTATAGCAAACAATCTGCCTCGCCTCGCATGCTCTAACGCGAGCTACAAAGCTTGCCTCGCCTGCTCACTGCTTCGTTTATACTTTTTCTTTCAGAATATTTGTTTTGCTCACAATTTCATCTCCAATGTAAAATAACTCAATTAAACACAAATATAGTATAGTTTAGCATTAAAGTACCTAAATGTAAAGTAAGTAATGCACTAAAAATATATAATTATAGCCACACATCACTACCCCACACTTAAACGTTGCTCGTCCTCGAGCAATCAAACTACACTTTATGTGGACACGACCTTTTTAAACAATTCTCCTAACTCATCACATCAAGAATCTTTAAAATAGACTAAGAACGAAGGTGTAACATCCTCACCTCAAGATTTGACTCACAAGTACCATGCATTATTCACAACTCACTCACTTACTCTAACATAGAGGTCAATGACATTACCTCCCCTTCATGATTCAAGTGCCCTCACACAACAAAATAGATTAGTTCAACACACAATAAAATGTAAGAACAATTAGGAACTCAAGATAGAAAGAATTCACTCACTCTCAGAAATAACATTCATATGCTACAAAAGATGCATCATAGGCTTGCCCGTAGTGTATTACTCTACTAATCGAGCTCATTCAGTCTAGGATCAAGTAGGACTTAAATTGGTTGTAATGCAGGTTGCTGGTCGGGTAGGATATATTTGGATATACGAGTGACTACACCTCCCTGAGCACTTTAATATATATACTTTAATATTCAAGCCCATACATATGTCAAACCAAAACTCCCTCTTAACATCAATCTATATTACCCCATACTTCTTTAAGTTCAATTATATCAAAAAGCCACCACCATCAAGGAATATTCTTCACAACAATACAATTATTTTTTTCTTTTTTTCAATTCAAGTGGCTCCCCCCNTTGCTAAAAAGTAAAATGTTCTATTTATACTACACAGGAAAATCCGGACAAAAATACCCCTGAGGGTCTGGCGCGGACCACGCACAAATGACGCGCGGCCGCGTAGGGTTTTGGGCCTTCATATCTTGCTTCTGGCACTAGGGGGCGCGGACCGCACAAAAGTGACGCGCTGCCGCGTGAACTTCATCCACGCGGACCACACTGATTAGGTACGCGACCGCGTAGGCTTTTGCCTTGAATGATTGAGTCTCTGATACTCTTAGGCGCGGACCGCATGAAAAGGGGCACGGACCGCATGAAAAGGGGCGCGGACCGCGCAGCTTGACTTGAAGATATCATGGCCTCTGAACTTTCCTGCGCGGCCGCGTGGCAGAACATTGCAGACCGCGCAGGTTGAACTTGAAGATGTCCAGCTTCTGAACTCTCCTGTGAGGCCGCGTGACAAAACAGTGCGGACCACGCAGGTCCTTTTGATACCCCCCTTTCAGTTGTCTTTTGACACTTGGCAGATTTCACTCCTTTTTGAGCCGATCTTTAGTATTTGTCATCTTGTCGCTCAAACCTGCAATCAAGCGCAACTTGTAAGCATTTTGGGACTAATTTATGGCAGTTAATGCACAAAGCTTAGGTAAGAATGGGTATAAAACATGTAGAAATCACAGTTATCACTGCCTAAGAATGTTATGAATTTCCATTCAGAACTGAACCATAACCTTACACACACAAATCTCAATCCTTCACAACATATCGCATATACCATATCATCCTAAGGTAACATGAGGACTTCACCTCCCTTCCGAACCATGAATGTTTACGTACTCAACTAGTCAAGAACTTTTATTGATCCCATCTAAAAGAAAAATCATTACACATCCCATGCTCTGCATGACATATATAGGTCTTGTTCAAATTCTTACAATACCGACACGACGGATAAGATCTGTATAAATTCATAACACCGCCGAATCAACAATTCATTGGGTCTATACTTCTAGCAAGAACTATCACCTCATTATGAACCAAACAATGGTCTTAGCCCCTTAATTTACTTCATATACTCAGATTGCACTGATCTCGAATTCAATGATCTCGTCTCACCCATTACGAACTGCTCAGGCAATAAGCCACCCCAGACATAATCAAAAGCCGCATATGATGCCCCAATATGCCAACAGGCTACCAATTCGAACACGATACAAAAAAAAGAAAACGAACTCTGGAAGGAATTATCAATCCCACGCACTAATACGGACTTTCCTTAGAAAACAGGAAACAAGGCATACAAAATAGCATATAGAAAACTATACTCAACATCACACTGTTGCGGCGTGCAACCCGATCCAGATAACATACCCATGGCGGCGTGCCACCCGATCCACACATAGATGTTACATAAGGAGATGCACATCTAGCCAAATTTGCTCATTACAACAAAATACCGAGTATCGGTCATAAGCATGCTAAGTTCATAATAATATCTCTGAGGGACATATAGCGTTATAAGCTACTAAACTCAAGCACAACTGAGGTGCGATGTACAGTCTGAATTTCAAGAGCCAAGATGCTCATATAGCGTCATTCCTACGCGGATTCTCAACACATAGCAATTTCTCAAGCCGTCTCACAACTCACACGACGCAATACATTACTACGTGAAATATCTGACAACGAAATATCAACCTAACTACTACTCCATGAGGACCGCGTTACTAAAATG